GAGATAGATAGAGAGAGAGAGAGAGAGAGAGAGAGAGAGAGAGAAAGAGACAGAAACAGAGATAGAGAGAATGGAAAAAGTATTTTTTAATAACGAAATATAAAAAATAAAAAAAACCGTACAGAAAAAAAAAGAAAAAAGAATTGTAGGAACAATCAACGAGTTTCATATTTCCTTTTTTCTTCTATTATTCTCTTTTTTCTATTTCGAAAAATTTTCTACCAAAAAATGTTCACATCGTCCGACGAAAATAGAATAGGTATATCGAAGTCTCCTGTATTTCCATTCGAGATTCAATAATATCTCAATGGAATTCGAAGAATCATTCGTCCTTCTCGCTCTTGAAATTTAAACGAACTGCAAACCTACTGTGGGATAACATATATATATATATATATATATTTATATATAGTTTCGCGAAACCTCGCACCAGAAGTATGAAATTTGTTTTGAAAATTTCACTTCCTCCTGAGGGCCCAATTCCTAGGTGAAATTAATTTTCAAACTGTCTTAACTTCGTGTCGCTTATGCGCATCACCGACAAAACCAAATAGGATTATTGCTCTGGGACGTGAAATTTTTTTCAAAAAAAAATATTCACATACCATATTCATACATGGCAGCTATTTTAATTGATCCAACGAATTAGATAGAAATTTAGAAAAAAAAGAAAAAATATCTTGATTGAAATTAAACAATTTTTGTGAATTATATTAATATTTACGAAAATATAAATACGCACATATATATATATATATATATATATATATATATATATATATATATTTGTCTTTTTTTTTTTTTGAAAAATTCGTCTATAGTCATATATATACAGGTATATATGAATCACCCTATATATATCCTTCAATTTTACAAAAGGATATATGTATTTCATATTAACTAACACAAAAGTATAAACTTAGAAAATTTAATAAAATATAAATACTTGAAAATTTCCTCAATATATATATATATATATATATATATATATATATATATTCTTTTTGTTAGAAAAACAAAAAAATAAAAAATCCTAAACTAATCTA